TTGTGAAAGAGGGAACTTTAGCCTAAGTTTTTCATTATTTAATGTATTGCTACTCTGGAACCTTTACACTAATTAATAAAGTATAGCAAATAGTTTTAAAATAAGTTATATATTTTTACTTAAGACCAAACATATATGGAGCAGTTACCTTCCACCTTAGGGAAGTCTCTTGCTCTTTGGTGCATTAGCGTTTGAGCATGCTCAGTAAGAATTTAAATCTGTCCTCTGTTCCTTTGCCCATTTGCCCACATTGACCTGACTTCATTTAACAGTGTTGCATGTGCATGATCTAAGGACCCTAAAAAGTTGGTGCTGTTTCACAGAGATCCTGTGAAAGATGCAGCCTTCCCTTTTCAGTTTCTCTGTATCTCTTTGTTATCCCTGAGATAGTCAAAAAGGCATAAAAATAAGTATATGAATTGATGTAGAACCCATAGTAGGCCTAAATTGAACAACAGCCTGTTTCTCAACATTCCTGATGACTAATGAGCCACTTGATATATATACTACCATTCTTAGAATGTTGATTATTTGTGCTAAATGTAGTACTATGTTAATTAATGCTTGATGAAATTCTAGAGAGTGTGGGATTAGGTTGGTACATTTCTTCCAGTTCATCAAAAGTCATATACTTTGAAAAAGGAACCGAAATAGTAGTTCTTTTAAAATGGCCTCTTTTAATATTTACTATCACTGGTAAAATTTAAGTTTGTGAGAGTGGGGTATTGCCACAAGGAAAGAGGAATAAGTTCCTTCAATGTGTTTGAAATTTCTCAAAAATTATTTTGCCTTTTAATCTAGATTAATTATATCTTTACATCAATTTCGGAAGGAGCTAAATTTATAAGAAAAGGCAGACATGAATGGAAAATTTCATTAAAGATCCTTTTTGGTTATCTTCCCTGCAGATCATGAGTAGAGTTATCATCATCCAGGGAAAAAAATAGAAAGGAAAAAAAGTTGTGAGACATAACTGCTTTTTTATTCCTTGAGGTTTTTTAAATAGAAGGAAGGAAATTACTAAAACCTATGTAAAGTTTTGGTAATTCTGAAGTCTGCTGGAGCTTTTGTATTAACATCAATATTTGGCCTTTTAAAAGAATTTTCTAGTATGATGGTTTTAAATCATTTTACAATTAAAATTATATTTGTTATGTATTGAAATTGAAGGGAGACTATAAACCCATCGCCTTCCCTTACCCTGATTGTCAAGTAACATTTTATTTGTAACTTTTAAAGTTGGATTTAGGGGTGCCTGGGTGGCTTAGTCGGTTCAGCATCCAACTTTGGCTTAGGTCATGATCTCACAGTTTGTGAGTTCCATTCCCACATTGAGCTCTCTGCTGTCAGCGCACAGCCCACTTTGGATCCTCTGTCCCCCTCTCTCTGCCCCTGCCCTGCTTGTGCTCTATCTCTCTCAAAAACAAATAAACATTAATAAAAAATTAAAGGTGGATTTAAAATTCTTACTAAACTGAGGACAATGCCTATAATTAAAGTATATTAGTATTCAATTGTATTGAAACAGCATTTCTTGGTATATGCAGTATCTGTAGATTCTCTTGCATGGTGGCTTTTATGTTATCATCATCTCTTTTATGGCCATATTGCTTGGGCATCAGATCTGCATGAGGCAAAATTTAGATGCTACCACTAAGTCTCTCAGTCTCCTTTCCTCAGTATAAATAGATATATATCTGATGATACATTTTTGTTCACTACAGTTTTATGTTACTGATATCAATTGTGAACCAGTAAATACCTTTTCTTGGGTATTTTGGATTTCTTTATACTAACTGTAAGTAAATTGTTAAGATGATACCATGTGAATATAATATAAAGTTTCATTTTGAGGTACCTTATATACTCTTTTGAAGAAGGGGTTGAGAGAAGTGGTGTCAGCTGCATTTTCATATGGCTTTGCATGATGGTTAATTATTAAACTGCTGGGTATAATAACAACATGCCTTCTGCTTTAAGGATAGTCTATTTTGTTCTTCTTTTGAAGGAAGGAAATAACTAATCCATATAAGAAAATATATTTAAGAAACTATTTTTTATTTTTCCAGGTACTATGTTAAATAAAGATTGTGTTTAAATATTTTATGTGTATTTTACTTAGATAACTTATATCTCAAAGTAGTATTTGTTTAGAATTTTTTCCTAATACCTTAACTGTAATATTTATATCTATATGTGGATTCAGATTAAACCTTTCTTGCAGTCTGGCAAACATATGTAATGATGTAGCAAACTGCTATCCGTTAAGAGATTGTTGATCATACTTTCAGTAAGAGAATTGGGCTTTCTGGAAAACCCAAATTAAATATATTAGATACGCTTCTTCCCTTCTAACAAAATCCCAAGGTAAGGATTCTTTTGTTAACTGCAGTTTCTGCACGAAACATAATGGGACACACATTATCTTGTGGTTATAACAATAATACATCTCAAGACTAAAAATCTAAATTATTACAGATGTACATACTATAGAAAGTAAAAATCCTTATAGCTATCTCTGCTAGTTACTGATAATCAAATATTTCCTTCACATTAATTTGTCAAGAAAATATGGAAACCAGTGAGTAGATATGCCCATAAGACAAAATATAATTACGATGTTACTGGAAACAATATACAATTTTTTAGAGTTAGAAAATCTAGTTCCGTGTTAAAAGCTTTAAAGCCATGTAGAAGCACTTAGCTGTTGAGTAAATGTAAAATCTTACTGCCCTTTTTAAAAAGGGTTTGCCTGTAGGAATAATGAGTTTGACATTATTCTGGGTGACTGAAATTAGAAGGGTGACTCTTGAATGGTCTGTTTTATGGTGGGTTAAGGAAGATATGAGGAAAACCTTTTGATTTTTTTAAACCAGATAGATATCATCACCTCAAATTGACAAGGGTGTAGTATAAAGATTAGTAACAAAATGTATTTCACCTGAAGTTGTTTTATATGCCTAAATACTGAGATACCAAGTTTGTTTGTGGATAGTCTTACTAAAGCTGGACTAATTAAAACTGAATAAACACAATGGATAGCATATTAGAATTCTGTGCAGATTAAGATTTCTTCCCCTAAATTATTTAGGGTAAGTGTTGATTTGATAACAGGGTCATTTCCAACCTATAGCAAACATTACCCAAGAGATAAGGTCAGTTGAGTTTTTATTCACAATTCCTTCTTTTTTAACTTAGCTATTGCTGAGTCTGTCTGATTTGTTTTTTAGGTGCTGAGGGTGTAAATGGAGGAGAAGAGTCGGTAAACCTAAATGATGCAGATGAAGGCTTTTCATCAGGGGCCTCCCTCAGCAGTCAGCCAATTGGGACCAAACCATCCTCCTCTTCTCAGAGGGGAAGCTTAAGGAAAGTAGCAGCTGGGCGTTCAGCTAAGGATAAAGAAACAGCTTCTGTCATCAAATCCAGTGAGAGCCCTCGAGATTCAGTCATTCGCAGGCAGTATGTACAGCAACCAACTGATCTTAGTGTAGATTCAATCGAGCTGACACCGATGAAGAAACACCTGAGCCTGCCTGCTGGCCAGGTGGTGCCAAAAGCCAATAGTTTAAGTCTAATCCGGACAGCCAGTGCTTCCTCAAGTAAATCATTTGACTATGTAAATGGCAGTCAAGCAAGTACCAGCATTGGGGTTGGCACTGAGGGAGTTACTAATCTAGCAGCTAACAATGTTAATCGATACTCAACTATCAGTCTACAGGAAGACCGGCTAGGTCAAGCTGGAGAAGGTAAAGAGCTCCTTAGCCCAGGAGCTCCCTTAACCAAGCAGTCTCGATCCCCAAGTTTCAATATGCAGCTAATATCCCAGGTGTAGTTCTGACATCCTCTCTCATCTTTTTGCTTACCTTTTAAACTGAACATTTCATTGTACATGAAGACACTTCATCCCACATTGTGAAAAAATTGGTCATCGTAATCAGATTTGATTTAGTTTAGGTATCTTCATACTGTATTTTGTATGGAAACAGCAATAAGGTTTTCTTTTTTCCTCCTTCCTATATCTTCTCTTCACCTTATTCCTTGTAAATGTGTTTGTGAAGCAGTATAAAATGTATGCATCTTCCATACCTTCCTTTCTCTGTGGGTGATGTGCAATCCATCGTAGGCTGATCGGTCCCATTTCAGCACTGTGAGACTGAGGATACGTTAGAGGAAATGGTGTATATGATCCCTATGAATTGATTCTTTGGCTTTTGTTTAAAAAAAAACCAAAACGGGTTTGTTCTCATAATTTATAGAACTGTGGAGATTACTGGATCATATTTTTTTCTCTTTTAACCAGGAGTGCCTCAGAGATTCTGCTATGACTTTGGACTTCTCTGAGTCTGTGCAATCATTTTCTTGAGAAGCATGGGGAAAGGTGGTAGACTGCTGCACTTTTTCATTAAAATGTGGGTGGCTCTTTTTCCCCCCATCTCCTTTATCTCCAGGACACAATGTTCAGTTACTGAGGCATTTAAATCACGTTATGGCCCCCTCCTTTGGAGGGCAGGGCTCAAAATTGTTTGTTTAATTGATAATGCACTTTCTCAATGGCTCTATAGTCATTATTAACATGTCTTCCCTCCTCCCCACAAGGACATAGGTCATTTCTGTCCTTAAAGTTTGAACAACTAACAAATCAGAGAATCCAAGGGGCATGTTCTATTTCCCAGGAATGATTGACACTTTGGTGCTGGGGTTTGTTGGGGGAGGGAGAGGGGTGGTTTTTGTTTAGCTCATGTGGGACTGTGTGTGTGAGGGGAAGTTTTGATAGGTTTTTTTCTTTTCCTTTGTGAGCTGATGATGACTGAAGTAGAACAAGTACGTCTTCAGGTAAAGAGAGGGATTTCTCAACTTGCTTTCTGTGATGTCAGACTATTGGAGAAGCCCTTTCAGCTGCTTTCTAGATGTACCTAAATTCAGTCAGATATTTTGGATTAAGAAACCTGAAGTCCTGATAGATCATATACTTTAAGGAAATACATCAGGGACAGATAATTGGCTGAAAACACTGATGCTTCAACGTGACACATTTTTATAGAACATTTCTACCAGGGGGTACTGACTTGATTTCTCCGACAAGGACCACACTGCCTTTGTGTTTAGTGTAATGCAATTTGTGTACCTTCTGATCATATATCTGCAAAAGTTTCTCATTTTTATAAAACTTGGAAATCATGCCAGTAAGCTAGATGTTGAATGTATGTAAGTATCATTTTGGTAATTGTGCTAAGAGGCTACAAAAAACATTATTAGTGAAAAAAAATTTTTTTTAGTTCTGATTTGGTTGGGTAAGATTTCAGTATAAGTTCTTTTGGGTCTCAGGCTCTAATGCTTGATTGAAAAAGAAGAGAATATATTGGTTTTTTAAAAATCAGTGTATTGTGACTTGAACTGATATACATTATCCTTCCACAAAATACATCAGAGCTATTAGTGCTTTATACATTTAGACATTTTTATTTTATTGTGAAAGAAAAATATACTGAATTTATAGAAAGCAAGTATTTAATTAAGTTTAAATTTTTATCTCTACCAATTAAAATTACAGTAGATTTTTATAAAATAATCAGAAAAATGCCTCTTGTTTTTTTCCACATCTGAAAATCTCCCCTCTCCTCTTCTTATTTTAAGAGGGTTTGTTTTGTTTTATAGGGGACTTTGTTAGAATCTTTATAAGAACGATGAGATGCTTGTTTGAATTTGGTGGTCTGTAACATTTTTCAGCTCATGTGAAAATGGAAACCTAGAACCTGAACTGAACTAACACAACCAATACTACTACTACAACATTGCCAAAGTCTGGGATAAAGTTAAAAATTTATAAATACAAATGTGTTGATGTGTGTATGAGTGAGTGAGTGTGTGTGTGAGTGTGTGTGTGTGTGTGTGTGTGTGTATCACAAAGACATATTTTAGATGTCCCTCTTTTTTAATTTAAGGGATGTCAGATAAGTGAGTTTGAAAGCAGCCAAAAAAAATGAGGTGTAAAGATCTGTAACATCCTGAGGAAAGCAAAGTTTCAGGTATGAAAGGAAAAGAGCATTGTTCTTACCAAGGGGTAAGATCTTGGCCATCAGCGGTTGATTTAGGAGGCTGATGCGTTGTTTTGATTTCAACAAGTTGTACATATGTTGGCATCTAAATCTAGCATGGTTTAAAGCGCGTGCGCGCGCACACGCACACACACACACACAAAACAATACCAAATTACAGCAAAAGCTGTAATACATATAAATCTCGCTTTTATTTTGTTAAAAATCTTCTACTTGAAAAGTTGGTTTTGAAAAACTTTCAACTTCTAAGAATTCATTTATCTGTATGTATATACATGCATATTTTGTATGTATGTATACCTATTAATGTTTCATGACCCTGTAACATTTTTTCCATTCTTTTAAGTTATGTGATTTGGCTTTAATGAAGAAACATTTCATTTAGTACAAACTGTGCATTCAGGGTCTTAGAACAGATTTCCTGTGCAAGATATAACTAAAATGGAATGAGTTTTAATAAACCATAAGTCAAATTTTCTAAGAGATTTTTTATATTCATTTGCATTATTTATTGGCATTTAATTCAAAATAGTTTTCAGATATACAACAGCTGTTACAAATATATACCAGCAATATGCATACTTTATTATTTAACAGCCTGTTGTTTTATACTTCTTACCTTTCATAAGAAAAAGTCCTTCTCTCTATGGAAAAGCTCATTACAGAGAAAATACTTGTTTTCTATAATAAAACAATCTGATTGATGCCATCTGTGTCAGGTTAGAGACGCTGGAAGGGGGAAAATGGTTATAGTTTGAAGTACTGACCCCTACCACCACTCTTATGCTCCCAGTTACTCTTCTGTGCCTGTTTATTATAGTCAGAATTTTTGTGCTAGATGAGACCCTAGAAATAATCTAGCTAGTAGCCCAGCTCCCCAAATATCATCCTCAGGAAACTGAGACTCAAAACGGTTGTGACATGATTTAAGTTCACATAACTAAGAAGCAGAGCCAGAATATCACTCCTGTCTCCCATCAAATGCATATTAACACCCACTGCCTCCCTGTACTCCTACTATGGTAAATGTGGTATGTAACTGTCTCCATTTTTGCAGTTTCTTTATATTTCTGGTCTAGTAGTTAGTGAATATAGCACATTAAGTATGAAATCCAGAAAATATGCAGAGTAATAAACCTAGATGGGAAGTGTTGGAAATGTAGGTATCTATACCATAGATGTAAGGATAGATACATTTTTTTAATTCTAATTTATGCCTTACTATTTTCTGCCCCATGCCAGTTGTATGCTGCCATTTTATAGTTGATTATATTTCTGGGGATTTATTTAAATGCAAAAATAAACCCAAAGAAATGGCTTTGATCAGTGTTTCTAGCTATTTTAAAATAACTTTTGAATCAGCCAGCCAGCTTTCACAGTCACCTAGGTGGCAAATTAATTGTATTGCACAATGGAGTATTGCAAAGAAAAGATTAAATAAATTTCATTCCATTAATTTCTAATGTTGAGAAAATAGAACCTTACATGTGCTTTAGAATAGATACAAGCAATATTTCCTTATGTAATTGAAAAAGGTTTATAGTGTGAAGTTTATGATTCCATAATGGAATGGTGACCATAATGTCATTTAAAATGTATATACCATATAAAATGTCTTAAATGCAGTAGTCTCAGCTATATAAGCTCAATATTTCCAATGTATATTCTCAAATTCCACTTAGTAGCTTTAAATTAAACTATTTATTAGACACTGGAATACTGAGAATAACTTTTCAGATTTTTTTTGTTTGCACTATTTTTGTGAATATTTTAATGAAGTGGGGTGTTTCTGCTACCTCACTTTGTGAGGTTTGTATGGGTCCATTTTTGAATACTTTAGTTAATAACAATCAGTTGTCTCATTTAATTCTCTGCATGTTCAATTTAAAAAACTAGTATCTGTCTTTAGGGGGTAGTATGCTATTTATATAAACACTGGCAAGGAAGAGCTCTCCATTTCTAATCTTGGATTACAAACTAAGTTTTTGGGTTTTTTTAAATCAGTATTTCAGTTATGTATTTGTTTTTCAGGTTAAAAATGTTTAATAGGTCATGCCAGTGGTCAGAAAATCTGTAAGAATTTTAGAGCAACTTTTCTATACTATGGCTATGTTAAACAGTCTGAATATAAGACTTTTTACCTTTCAAGTTGAATGATTATTGTCATGTTTCAAACCACTAAGTCGGTTGAGACACTTATTTGTAATACTTTAATTTTTTTAAAGTGCTTTCTAGAAACAAGTTATTTGAAAACCAACTAGAAATTATTGAAAACTTAAATTCTCAAAAATTAGAATATTTGCCAGATTATAAGATGGAATGCAGTGTGAAATTGTAAACAGTGCTAATAAAATCATGAGTCACCAGATTGGTACAATTTTCCATTTCCAGGGTGGTCATGTTGATAATATAAGGCATAAATTTTAGTATTATCTGCATTGTGTACCTAATGGGTATATCATATTGGCACTGAATATACATAGGAAATAATATTCATAAAGTCAACCAATGTGCACTTAAATTATATTAGGTTTTTGGCATTGCCAGAAATTTGTATGGTGATCCTGCCATTAGAATTAGAGGAGTCCTCATCACCCAGCCTTCCCCTATTCCATAGACACATTCCTTCTAAACCTGACCACACAATCATAAACTTTTGGTAACTTCAATTGCTTCAGTATTTTTGTACTCTTAACTATTAGTCACATGAGTAATATACACGAAAGCAAACAGTTCAGAATAGAAGTTAGCCGAAAGCTGGAAATGATGTGAAATA